GTGGTTGTGGGCTTGCTTCACTGCTGCCACCCGTCCTGTGCCTGGGCCAACGGGTTACGCCACACATCTATTGCGTGGCGGTGGGGTGGCGGGTTGAGGGATGTGCAGCGAGGGAGTCATGATGCATGCATGGACGATTCCTCGTGTCGGCAGTAAACCCTGCACCTACGCTGATAGCCGTGCGGCCCATCCCGGCCCCACACCACACAACAGGGTGGTTGGTGCGGAGATAACTCGTACAACGGGAGCTAGACTACGGGGAAAAGCACGGGGTGTTAGGGGTGATCTCTGCGTTCCTTAGTTTGCTCGTGTTTACACTACTTGCGCATTCACGGGGAAACTTGGCAAGAGTTTCACTAGCAAAATTTGACAACAATCGGTACACAATGCAAAACAACAATGGACTACATCAGATGCTAGCAAGCATGCAGGCCGACTACCAGCACAGCACGGTCGACCGCGTTCCAGCACTGCATGGTCGACCGCGCTCCAGCAGTGCAAAGTCGCGGTCTGCCAACGCTGCAAGTCGAAGGCGTGGCAACGCTGCTGCAAGGCGGCTGCACAGCGTTGCACCCGCAGGACAGCAGTGCACCTGCTTCGCAGGTGCTCGCAGCTAGTTGGCGTGCTGTGCCTTGTCACGTTCACAGCGCAGACGCCAAGCTGACTATGTGCCCACGACTGCACCTGATCCTCCACGTCGACCTCGGGATACCACACCGAGGTCGGCTTCGCAATAACCTCCTGGGAGACTCTCGCGCACCCCGCAGCGCCCGTCGCCTGGGTAACTGTGTCGACCGGGCAACCGGATCGGCTTCCAGGCGCCCAGGACGGCGTTCAGACGCCCAGGTCGGCGTCCAGGCGCCCAGGACGCCGTCCAGACGCCCAGGTCAGCGTCCAGGCGCCCAGGACGCCGTCCAGTCGCCTAGGTCGGCGTCCAGGCGCCCAGGACGGCGTCGCCCACTGCAGCAGGTCGGCTGCGCTCCCCGCACATCCGGCTACGAAGTCGGCTCCGCCCACGCGAGGACGGGGCCAACACACAACTCCCGTTGACAGAACTGCTTCGTACAGTCCTTCCCATTTGCCACCATAAGCTGCTTCAGGCGGAGCTTCACTTGTGCACAATCGGGTCTCTGTGATGATCTGATTATTGCCTGCCGCTGGAATACGTTCAGTGGTCCTCTGTCTTGTGTTTGCGCTTCCCTCCACTTCCTCGTCCGCGCTGCCCGCCGCCCCTTGGTGCGCGCCATGCACGTCATGGAACTGGGCTCGCTGGGGCTGAGCGCACCCGTCGTTGCATCCAACGCCACCGCCATGCGCCTGCTAACTGCCTGGCTGATTCTCCCGTTCGCAAGATCTCGCGGAGGACAACTGGTTGAAGGCTAACAATGCTAAGTCGCGATCCTCCTCCTGTCCCTGCCCTCGAGGCCGTAAAGCCTCTCGCTGCACACGCGACCCATGTTGCTGCTGGTGCGCTTGGTGTTCAGCGTACTCCCCACACATCCCCGTCCCGTCGTGAGCCTTCTCCTGGCCGGGGTGGACCATCTCCTCTCTTGTCGCCGCTGCACCGCTCCCCTCATGCGCCACCCATGCGTTGTGACGCCTCTCCCCAGCGCCGCGGTCGCTGTCCTGAACAGGGTCATGAGAGGTACTTCTAGATAGTCGTTGACGACTACTCGCGCTACACCACGGTCTTCCCCTTGCGCACCAAGGGTGAAGTCCCTGATGTTTTGATCCCTTGGATCCGCGCTGCCCGTCTCCAGCTCAGCGAGAGGCTCCACTCGGACTTTCCTGTCCTGCGTCTGCACTCTGACAGAGGTGGGGAGTTTTCCTCCGACCTCTTGAGGGCCTTCTGTCAGGGGGAGGGCATTGAGCAGTCGTTCACGCTTCCGGCCTCTCCACAGCAGAATGGGGTTGCTGAGCGCCGCATTGCCTTGGTCATGGAAGTCGCTCGTACCTCCTTGATCCATGCGGCTGCCCCCCACTTTCTGTGGCCGTTTGCGGTCCGATACGCTGCGCATCAGCTCAACCTCTGGTCCCGTGTCTCCGTTCCGGAGACTTCGCCGACACTGCGTTGGACGGGAGAGGTTGGCGATGCGTCGCGTTTCCGGGTCTGGGGATTTCGAGCTTTTGTTCGCGATACGTCCGCGGACAAGCTCTCCTCCCGCGCTGTTCCTTGTGTCTTGCTTGGCTTTGTCCCGGACGCGTCTGGTTGGCAGTTTTACCACGCCACCTCGCGCCGTGTCCTGCTCTCTCAGGACGTCACTTTCGACGAGTCGGTTCCCTACTACCGCCTCTTCCCCTACCGCACTGCCCCGCTCCCCCCCCCCGCCTTTCTTCCTCGCGCCAGGTGCTGCTGTGGTAGACCCCCTCCCCCCTCAGGGTGCCGCTCCCTCAGGTGTGTCCCAGGTAGACCCCGTTGAGCCTGTCGAGGTAGCTGTCGACTCTCGTCCTGCTAGGGGTGCGGAGCCTGAGGGTGCGGAGCCTGGGGGTGCGGAGCCTGGGGGTGCGGAGTCTGGGGGTGCTGAGCCTGGGGGTGCGGAGTCTGGGGGTGCTGAGCCTGCGGGTACGGAGTCTGGGGGTGCTGAGCCTGAGGGTGCTGAGTCTGGGGGTGCTGAGCCTGAGAGTGCTGAGTCTGAGGGTACTGAGCCTGGAGGCGCTCCCTCTTCACAGCAGCTTCGGGAGTGGTACTCGCGGTACAGCAGCCTCAGGAGGGGCGCTTCTGGGGCTAGGGGTACTGCTGGAGCTGGTGCTCGTGGTTCCCCGCCTAGGCGGGAGCCGCCCTCTCCCCAGCGGCTCCGAGAGTGGTACGCTCGGCGCTGCAGTCTCAGGAGTGGCGCTGCTGGTGCTTTGGCCCCTGGAGCTGGAGCTGCTGCTGGTGCCGCGGACCCTGGAGTTGGAGCTGCTGCTGGTACTGAGGACCCTGGGGTTGGAGCCGCTACTGGTGCTGCGGATCCTGGAGCTGGTGCTGCTGGTGTAGGAGCTGCTGGTGGTGCTGCTGGAGGTGCTGCTGGAGCTGGTGCTACTGGAGGTGCTGCTGGTGCTGCTGGAGGCGCTACTGGTGCCTTGGACCCTGGAGCTGGAGCTGGTGCTAGTGCAGCGGACCCTGGAGCTGGAGCTGCTGCTGGTGCTGGAGCCACTGGAGGTACTGCTGGTGCTGGAGGTGCTGCTGGTGCTGGAGCTGCTGCTGGGGTTGGAGCTGGAGGTACTGGAGCTGCTGGGGTTCCTGGTGGTGCTGCAGGAGTTGTCGCTGGAGACCCTGTGGCTGAGGGTGCTGGTGCTGTCTCTGCTGGTTCGGGAGGTGCTGAGCGGCCGCGGCCGTACTACGTTTCGCTCCTTCAGCAGGTTCTTGGCCTCCCGCCCTCCACTAGTCCTTCTCCTCCTCTAATGAGTCCACCACCTGTCCAGTCGCAGTCACAGTTACCGCTTGCCTCTCCACTCCTTGGTCCTTCTCCCTACGCTGGGCCGACTAGAGGTCTTACGGAGCGTCGTGAGCCCGAGTCTCGTCCTGCGTCGCCTGAGTCTCGTCCTGCGTCGCCTGAGTCTCGTCCTGAGTCGCCTGAGTCTCGTCCAGAGTCGTCTGTCCGCGCTGTCCGCACTGGTCGTCGTGCTCCGCGTCAGCGTCCTCCTCCTGTACTTGGCACTCACTATATGACTCTGCGTCCTTCCACTGCTCCTCAGCGTGTCCCTCTGCCGTCTCCTCCTGCGTCCTCTCTTCCTGACGTTGCTGACCCGCCGTCAGACCTTGCTCGTGCTGCCAGTCCTACTGTCACGCGCTTCCTCGCCACTGTTGTCACTGACCCTACCTTTGAGTCCTCTGCTGCGTCTGCTCTAGTCGCTAAGCTTGTTGACTTTGCTGCCGCCTGTCGTCTAGACTACGCCGCTAGCCTTGTTGCTGAGTCTGAGTCTGTCTGTCCTCCGTCCGTCGGGGGTGAGTGTGCTCTTGGCACGGACGTCCTTGAGGACAGACAGGAGGAGTTTGAGTGCTTTGCCGCTGCTTTACCTCATCTCGTGTCCATGCTGATTGCCCCTGAGAGAGACCCGGATGCACCAGACATCCCGACCCCACGCTCTTACGCAGAGGCGATGGAGGGTCCCTACTCCTCTCAGTGGCAGACAGCCATGGACGCAGAAATGGCTTCCTGGAAGTCCACAGGCACCTACGTCGACGAGGTTCCCCCACCTGGGGCGAACATCGTCAGTGGCATGTGGATTTTCAGGGTGAAGCGGCCGCCGGGTTCTCCGCCTGTCTTCAAGGCGCGTTACGTTGTACGAGGCTTCAGTCAGCGAGAGGGAGTTGACTTGTTTCAGACCTTCTCCCCGACCCCGAAGATGACCACTCTTCGGGTTCTGCTGCACGTCGCCGCTCAGCGTGACTACGAGCTCCACTCTCTTGACTTCAGCACTGCTTTCCCTGGGATCTGCACGAGGAGATCTGGCTGCGCCGCCCACCTGGCTTCACTGGGTCGTTCCCTGCTGGTACCCAGTGGAGCCTCCGGCGGCCAGTCTACGGTCTCCGCCAGGCACCCCGTGAGTGCCACGACACACTGAGGACTACTCTTGCTGCTCTTGGGTTTGCTCCTTCTACTGCTGACCCGTCGCTGTTTCTACGCACCGACACCACTCTGCCGCCGTTCTACGTTCTCGTGTACGTAGACGACTTGGTCTTTGCTACTGCTGACACTGAGGCACTCGCCCACGTGAAGTCGGAGCTGCAGAAGAGACACACGTGCACAGACCTGGGTGAGCTGACAAGCT